AGGTGATAAGGTTGTTATGTAAAAAAAAAAATTAAATACACAGATGAGGGGGAAAATTCCATTTTGGGGGGGGGATACCCCCTCATCTTGCTCATATGGAGCCAGTAATGGCTTTAAACCACTGACCTTTCAGTTAGCAGCCAAGTGTTTTAACCATTGCACCACCAATCTGAGAAAGAAGGGTCAATAAATCATAGTTGGACTCATATTAATCAAATGCTTTGGTAATAATATTTCACATAGAACTCTGAGTTCTGAACTTTTCAGCTATGTATAATTTGATCTATTGACTTCAAGAGCCAAAGACATCTGTATAGGGTATTGAATTAGTTTCTCATCACCCCCTCTTAAACCACCATCTGAAGTAGTCATGAAAGAGCCTCTTTCTTGCCCCTTTATCTCATATATGATTAAATTGCTTAAAGTAGCTATGCTTCTTTCTGGAAATAATTCTAACAAATGAGACAACTTGGCTCACATTTTCAGCAAAGTAGAAAACTTCTCCCCCATTTGCTAATTGCCAGCTCCAATCCAGCGATGAGATTTGAGAAAGTAAGGTTCATAGTTGCTGGGTTAGCTGTTAGCCCTATCTCAAAGCTATACTAATATTCAATAAGTAATAATAAAATGTGTCAGGCACATTTTTAAGTACCATACACTAACTCAATTTTACCTGCACAAGTCTATGATAAAAATATTATCATTTTTATCATGTTAGTGTTGAGGAAATTGAGGCACAAAGAAATTAAGGAACATGTCCAAGACCAACCAGCTAGTGAGTGGCAAAGCCATGATTCAAGTTACTCTAGCTCCAGAGTCTGTACTGGTAAACACCGTACCAACTCTTCTCTTCAACACAGCACAAGAGCAGTGAGTTTTGGATTGGAAGACGCTAGTTTGAGTTGCACGAAAATCAACTTTTCTGAAAGCTAGTGTCTTTTCTGGGATTGCTATACAGAATAAAGGAGACAATTTAATTATTTTAAAATATATATGGCACATACAGTCATCCCTTGGTTTCCACAGGGCCAGGGTGAGGGGAAGGGCAGCAGATTAGTTGTAGGACACCAAAATCTGTGGATGCTCAAGTTCCTTATATAACATGGTGTTGTTTCTGCATATAACCTATGCACATCTTCTCTTATACTTAAAATATCTCTAGGTTATTTATACCTAATGCTATGTAAATTGCACTTTCCCACTCCCCATAACCTTTGAGGGGTTGCTTTAACCACTTAGTTCCTCCTTCCTCCCCAATATTTTCGATCCTTGCTTGGTTGAATCCATAGATATGCAATCTGCAGATACAGAGGACCAACTGTATATATAAGTAACTACAAATGCAAAGAGCTCTAGTATTTTATACTACCCACCACAGTGGTGAACATTAGGAACAACAACCACAAAAACTAGTTGTATTGAAAAAGATTTTTCAGTATATCAAATTTAAAGGGTGATTTCATTACAGTAGCTTGAAAATTCTCCAAATTATAGCAGCTATTATAAAAGAAAGATGATGATAAAGTCCAATGAGGGTCATTTTAAACAAAAAGAAAATGTGATAGCTGGTAGATGAGAAGTAGCATTGGAACCTCAGTAAAAACATTCAATGATCCAAACTGAGGTGATGAATCTACATCCCTTGTACCTGCAGTATAGTTATTATTGGAAATGAAGAACCTTCTTTCAAAGTGCAAAGTTAGCCATACACTAGTAGACTCTAGATGGACATCAGAAAAGAGATCTTCCTTTCTACCAAGGTTTAAAAAACAAAGCCTTCTCTCTTTTTGGGGGGTACATTAAAGAAATAAAGAAAGGGAAGCATTCTAAATCTTGTGTGCCTGTTTCAATGGTAACAAGGATTATCTAAATGGTAATGAAGAAAGGTGATCCGTCTTTTACTGCACTGGCTTTGGTAAATGGAATAAAGTAATTCAACCATGAAGATACTGAATTTTTTAGCTTGTGTATCTCCCTGTGCTGTTTACATGTTTTCACAAACGTAATAGATACTTGGATGCCACACATAATGTCCAACAGCTATATTCAGGGAAAGGGACACCAACAGTAGTGACTCTCATTACAACCTATCTTGTCATTTCCATAAAATTGTGCCCTATGTGCAATCACCAGGATTTCTAAGCCACCAGAAGCTCTGATCTGCTAAAGACAGATCATTTGTTTTGCTGAAGAGAATTACCTTAATCTGCAAAGCAGGACACATTAAATTATACAGAGTCCTATCTGCAGGAGAAATTATTCTTGCTTTACAAAATGTGTGTTTAAAACACATGTGTAACTCATAATCTGGTGAGTATACCTCCAGTTTAGAGGACTCAGTCAGTAATTAGGAAATCAGTAGAGGTTCTAGATCCTAGGGAAAAGAATTAATGAGCTATCCAAGGAATTGGGGCCATCTCCATAGAGATAAAGAGTTCAGGACAAGACTTCAATGCAATGAAAGACCCAGAGGACATGTAAGAAATGAAGGAATGAGTAAAATGGGGAAGTTAGGCTAAGATTTTGGCTTGCTGGGCCAAGGAGAGGTAAAATGTGCCCACTCTGTCTCAAGCACAAAAGCTGAGAAAGAAAACTACACCTGAGTGACAATTCGTCTAGGTTCTGATTAAGATGGAAACTTTACCTGCAGAGGAAGAAAGCAGGTACTTTACCTGCTTTGGTACTTGTTCTGAATCTGCAAAGAGCAAGCACTAACACTATCCATTCAGAGCGAAAAGAAATTGTCCTTCTCCCAACTCTTTGGTTTTTCTTTTAAGTATGGTGATATTGTAAAATACCTCTAAATCACTGGCACAATTGACAGTTTCTGCTAATAAACAAAACCGATGAGCAGGCTCTTAGTTACCTTCCTGACCTCGTTTCCCATGCACCCCAGGGCCTTTGTGTGTGTCTATTTCTTCTGACTGGCACAAGCAGCCACTATATCTTCAAACGTTCATGGAGAACGTTCTTGATCTTCCTTCCAAAGTTATCCTGTTCTCCCTAAGGTGTTAATCACAACACATCAGGGTTCTTATCAAAATCTGGAAGTCTCTTGTAGGTGTTTTTGCTCAGTCAAATGACAAATGTAGAAGGATTTTTCTTATCATTCAGTGAATCTCAAAATCTACAGAATTGTAGAGTTTAATGAACAAATAATGTGCTTTTCTTGAGAAGACCTATGCCTTACGTTGATGGAAGTTTCAACATACAAATAAAAGCCCATAAATGGGCTTTAATCTGTGCAAAGGAACAAGTAGAGCTATGACCACTTTTAAGAGTGCAAGTGAGTGAGACAGGGAGGCTAGGTCCCTAAATCCAAATTACACATAAGCACAATGAAGTGTTCTGGAATTCCCATTCTTCCCGTGTTATCCACTGTTTGTTATGATCCACACACTCAAATGCCTTTGCATAATTCATAAAACACAAGTAGACCCCTCTCTGTTATTCTCTGCTTTTAGTCTTGGCCTTATTTTGGCTGATGATATTGCACTTCTCCTTTCCCTCTTCCCACAAATGTAGTCACCTTGATTCCTGCATATCCCATTTGGTGAGGCCCTGGTGTACAATTTTATAATTTTGACCAACATTTATTTGTAATGAAGAAATCATTGGTTTTGCAACATTCTATCGTGGGGTCTTCAGCTTCATTTCTATCACCAGGACTCTATTTTTCAACGACTGTTCCTTCCTTTTTGTTTCAAACTTTCACATACCAGTCACTTTCAGTTGGAGAACTTCTGGTGTGTTCATCTTCCTTTTTGGCCTTCAATTGCCAAGTGTTTGCCCATTTCATTATAATGCGTTACTTCGTCTTCTAAAACTGTCCTTTAAAAGGTTCTGTTCAGCGTCGCTATTGCTTTCATTAGCTTTAGCTACTCTACGCTCAAGTTTCTGAGTCTCTTCTGAATGCATTATAAATGCATCTTGATTACGTGTTTGATCAATTTCAGAATGAAAAGTTGGTAGAATTTATTTCAACACTGATGTTAATGGCTGGAATGTAAATGTGAATAACAAGTGTATTAACTGGACTTCTTTGGAGGTGTACAGATATCATCCTATTACAAAGAGCATCGCCCTTCACAACAGCTCTGGAAGGCGTCTTGTTTGACAATAAATGTGACACCATTTCTCATAATTTTTTTTTATTCCTGGCATCCTAAACCATAGGATTATATAACTCAGAATGCCCCTTGGCAGTCCATTTCAGTTTATTGTGTAGGACTTCACGTGGTCTTTATGTGATCTTGATGTGGTCCACTTCATTTTTGAGAACTTTTAATTTTCCCAGTTTCATGCTTCATACATTCCACATTACAGTTGTTCTGATATGTTTGCACTTGTTTCTTCTCATTTTGAGTTGTTCTCCATTAGCAAATGAAGGTCTCAAAAGCTCTACTCCATCCACACCATTAAGGTAGAGTCTGCTTTGAGGAGGCAGCTCTTCCCTGTGAGTGGACCTGTGAGTGCCTTCCAACCTAAGGATCTCATCTCCTGGCACTAATACCAGACAGAATTCTGCTGCTATTCACCAAGTTGTCAGTAGACAACCTTTTCCTTCTCCCTAGCCTGCTCTTAGTCTGGAAGTTCCACTGAAACCTATTCACCCTGGGTGGCGCTGCTGGTATTTGAAGTATCAGTGACATAGTTTCCAGTATCAAAGCAACATGGAAGCCACCACAGTCGACAAACTGACAGACGAGTCATGAGTTTAAATAGGCACCAGCAAATGTCATATATCGAAGAGCTTTACAAAGAGCTACTTTACCACTGCTCTTCTCTTCCAAACCCAACTGTAAATATTTAGTCATTAGACAAAAGAACTGTCCCATAATCGAGTCTTTCAATGACAACAATTTCTTGGAGATTAAAAAAATTGAATATATGCTATACATTATTTACCTGCTGTAAATAGTTGGTCTTCCCATAAACTTAATTGTGATCTAAATACAGATTATGGACTGATCCCTAATAGCTTTGCTTTTGTTTTTCAGATCCTTATGTGAAGATTCATTTGATGCAGAATGGAAAGAGGCTGAAGAAGAAGAAGACAACCATTAAAAAGAACACACTTAACCCCTACTACAATGAGTCATTCAGCTTTGAAGTACCTTTTGAGCAAATCCAGGTAACGTCAAACATCATTTTCTTTCCATCAATTTCACTCCTTCAGACCACATAAATCAAACACACAGTCCTTATAAAATACCAGTGAGGACTGCCATTCTTGTTCACTTGAATGTTTGATGCTTAAGTTACATCAAAAAGGAAATGATAAACAAGATGTGCTAGTTCATCAGCCAGAAGCAGCTGCACCTTCTATTCAATAGAAATAAGTAGGAAAAAGAAAATCAACAGACAAGATTACTAACTAAAAAGTACATCCACAAAGTTAAAAAGCCAAGAGAAAATGAGCATCCATTACTCCCAGGTCATTTTATATCTTTCTCATCATATCTTTATAGCCAACAATAGAAACGGGATGAAGATACGTTGTTGTTGGGTGTCATCAAGTCGGTTCCGACCCATAACAGCCTTGTGCACAACCGAGCTAAAGTGATATTTCTGCATGTTTAAATTCAATTGTCTATGTCTTAAGTAGAAATGAACATTTTTGTAAATATGAAACACTAATTTGCTAGAGAATAATTACTATGAAAGGAACTATTCTACTGAAAGACCATGTGTTTAACATGTTCACAATAGCATGTTATATGTAATCACAATGATAGCATGCGTCCTATTATTTAGAGATTTTTAGAAAACCATTTAAATTTTATCAAATATTTATAAATGAAACTGTCAGAATCAGAAGTTCATATTGAATAATTATAGGCTATTTCTTACTAATCTCTAATAAGTATTGGAAAGTCAAACTATTTGAAGCAATTAATTTTATTTTTGCATTTTATTAAATAATTTATGTGGGTCTACCTTTTTTAAGTATAAAAGTGTACCCATGAATTAAGAGGGAAAATGAAAGCTACACATATAAAACCAGAGCATGGAATGTGAATTTCCAGAATTTTAAGTCCGCAAACATTGTTCAGTTGCAGATTTCTGCTTTTAATATATTCTTACACTATTTTATGAGGGAATCACATATCTCTCCATGAGAAAAGCTAATATAAGTATATTTATTGTGTGCCTAAGTCCATGTTAAGTACTCTATATCCATAATCTCATTTACTCCTCACCTTATGAGAGGAATTATTATCTCGATTTTGTAGATAAGACACTGAGGCTTATTATTTTCTCCTGTGCAAAAAAGGAACAATATCAAAATCCCTGTCAAGTGATGTCTCGTCTGCTGACTTTCTTTTCCAACTAAGTTCTACGGACTAGAATGTGCCCACGGCTTCTGGCTGATGAGCTAGCACCCCTTGTTGACCACTCCCTTCCTGGTGTAACTTGAGCATCAAACACGCACACACAGCACTGAGAAGAGTGCCACATAGGTAGGCACACTAGATCAATAATCCCAGTCATTATTATGTTGTCTGTTTTTCAAACTAATATTTGTATTCATTTTCTAAAGCTTCCACAACAAATTTCCACCAACTGGGTGGCTTAAAACCAGAGAAATCTATTTTCTCACAGTTCCACAGTCTAGAAGTACAATCCAGGCATTGGAAAGGCTTCTCTCTCTTTCTCTCTCAGAAGTCTGTAAATGAAAATATGCTTTATGACTTTTTCTTGGTTTTTCCCAATCCTTTGTGATCCTTAACTTTTAGATGTATCACTCTGATCTTTGCCTCTTATGTCACATGATATTGTTTTCTGTGTATGTGTCTCTGTCTCATCTCATATTCTCATAAAGACAGCAGTCATACCGGATTAGGGCCTAGCCTAAATGGCCTCATATTAACTCTATTACATCTCCAAAGATCTCATTTCCAAACAAGACCACTTTCACTGGTACTAGAGGTTAGGTTTTCAGTATATCTTGGAGAAGAGCACAATTTGACCCATAATAACTTTAGATGAGAAAACTAATCTAGCAATAAGATAAAAGCAATGTTTAAATCAGCATTATATAATAGAACATTCTGCAATGATAGAAATATCCAATATGGTAGCTGCTAGTAGCAGGTGACTAATGGACACTGGAAATGGGGCTAGTATGACTGAGGAACTGAGCTGTAAAGTTCATGTAATTTTATTTAAATTTAAATAGCCACATGTAATTCAAAATCATCTTTAATCCCACCACTCTCAAATAAATTTCCTTTCTATAAAACCTTTTTTAAATCTACCTTTATGTGTGGGCAAATTATACATGCTATTTACTTTGAACAGCTGTTATATAAATAACTGACATTGAGGAGGACTCTGCTTCCCTGTTCCCAGGCACATGTTCACTCGCCTGGGCCACTGAATTCACTAGCATACCCTAAGACATCTCATTTTCTCCAGCAATTTTTGTGATATTTGTTCAGTGATCTCTTTTGCATTTTAAGACCTTATCCTTATGGAAACTAGCACTTCCTGGCATCCTCTTTTTAATTCTTCAGAATAATATAAGGCAAAGTATTGAGATGAAAAATTCTATTGTGAGGCTGCTTCTCCTTGGGGCAACAATTCTGTATCTTTTTAAAAAATAAATGTTCTTTTTAAACTATAAATGGCAGCAGATGCAAATATTGCTGAACGTGAAGCACATTAAGACATGACATAGGTTAGGTTTCTAGGGCAGTGTTTTGCAGGAGAGAACCTTGGAGTACATTAAACCCAAACCAGAAACCAATCCCAGGGTTGCTGAGTACATTCCAACGCACTATCAATGCAATAAGACAGTAAAATTGCTCCGTGGGGTTTCTGAGGCTGTATGTCTTTATGAGAGGAGACATCTTCATCTCTGCCATGGAGCAACTAGTGGGTTTAAACCGTGTGGCTAGCAGCCCATTGTCTACACCACAGCACCACTGGGACTCACTGGGGCTCAGTTCAGAGTACATTAGACATGGACATAAGGAGCATTTGACTTCTTTCTTTTCTGCTAATCCACCCACCACCCACATACCCACCTCACTGCACCCCACCCCAACTCCACTCCTGATTCTTTAATATTTACTTTTTTAAAAGAGAAACCAATTGAGTATTTTATACACTAACATGAGAGTTTAAATTTCTCTCATCCTGAGGCTATAGGTTTATCTGACTGCCATTTTGTCCTCTTTCTTCATCCCTACAAAATAAAACAAGCAAAATATACTGATTTTTTTTCTAAAGCATAAAGAAGTGTTTCAACCTCCAAATGTGCACCTGGAAAAAATAATCCAAGGTCATCACAAGGGTATTTCTTCTGGGGTGCTAATAATCAATGCATTCCTAAAAAAATTAATCACAGCTTATTCCAAACTCTGAAGTCCCTATTACTTTTGTGCATAATTTCTTCCCTCATCCCCCTTCCTTGCACTCTATGATGGCATCCTTATAAATTTGATTATGAAAAAGTCCTGAAAGCCAAGGCAATCCTGGATTCAGCACCAAACAATATCCAGAAGTTATGTGATTCCCTTGATACTGAAAGCAATCCAATGCTGCCGTAAAGAAGACAGGAATGTCTCGCCTTTGTTGTAGTGTGTTGCATTTTGCATTCTAAATTCCACTTTTAGAAGTGTTCGTCCTCTCTTGTCTGAAAGTGCAGTATACCAATGGCATCTCTCTGCACACATTGCAAACCCAGAGTCCACTCAGCAAAGGACAGTGATTCTACTGGATCTTTATCGGTCCCTGGATTTCATAATGATCTCTTCTGCTCCTTTTAACTCTAGCCACCAACTGTTACACACTCTGCTTTATTTAAAATTCTTCCTTTATCCTTGTACTCAATTTCTAAATCATATACTTTTTTTAAAAAGCATTTTATTGGGGCCTAGTACAACTCTTCTCACAATCCATACATACATCCATTGTGTCAAGCACTTTTGTACATTTGTTTCCCTCATCATTCTCAAAACATTTGATTTCTACTTGACCTCTTGGTATCAGCTATCCAAGCAAATTTATTATTTAGGAAGCAGAACTAAAACACGCTTTTAGAAATGTTCCTTTCATACTATAGTGGTACGGATCTTCTTTCAGGCAGTGTCTAAGTTATCTAGTGCTGCTATGAGAGAAACACCACAAGGGGGTGGCTTTAGTAGACAGAAATTTAACTTTTCATGGTTTCCCATTGTCATTAAGTAGCTTCGATTCACTGTGACCCTACATGGTGGAATAGAGCTGAATCATAGGATTTCTAGGCTGTAATCTTTATGGAAGCAGACCATCGATCTTTCTCCAACTGGCATCTCATGGGTCTGAACCACCCACCTTTCTATTAGCACCACCGTGGCAACATCTTATTGTCTAGGCACCTCGAGGTCTGGGTTTAGGGAACTAGCTCCATGGAAACTCTGCCTCTCTGTAGCCTCTGCAGGAAAGTCTTGGTTCCTTTGAGCCGAAGCTTCTGGTCCATCTTCACACAAGTTCTCTTCCTCTTTGCCTGGTTATTTGTTTAATCTTTTACATCTCAGAAGAGATTGATTCAAAACACACCTACAATAATCCTGCCTCATTAATGTAACAAAGACAAACCTTTCCCTAATCATTAAGGCCTAATGGGATTATAACAGGTGATAGAGGTTAAAATTCACAACACATATTTGGGAGAGATCCAATTCAATCCATAATATGCAGATTATTATTTCAAAAGGTAAATTCTTTCATAAACTCGCACCACCAAAAGGAAGCACAATCTTACAATCTTACGTGGCCTAAAAGGTCATTTCTATGATGTCGGTGCCAGATATGCAGTGGTGGTGGTGGTGGTGGTTGCCACGTGCCTTCGAAATGTTTCTTTACAAAATATATGAAAGTAAACAACCACTATCTTTCTTTTGTAACTACGTTTTAACTTGTAACTACTCTATTCTCACATTTCATATTCACAATAACCATAGTTACTAAGTGAAAGTATCAGTTTTAGGGAAAATTCTGGCTTGGAATAGAATTGCTGAATCTGATGGCTTTGGGAATTATAGCAAGATAAAAAAGAATGGTCTGAGCATCAGTACCAGAAATGTCATGCCTGAATCAGAAATGGCTTTAAAGGTTAATTCAAGTTGACACGAGTAGCATGACATAGTAGTTTACATGGAGAGCCCTGGAGACAAAGCTCCTGTCACTCATCTGCTATGTGACTTTGGGCAAGTGACAATTTCCCTGAGCATCAGCATACTCATCTGTAACATGCCTGTATGAATAAGCTCTATCATGATGAATGAGGTGTTGTTAGGTATTACGGATTCCATTCTGATTCAGAACCTTTGCACTACAAAACAAAACACTGCCTAGTCCTGTGCCATCCTCACAATTGTTTTTATATTTGACCCAATGGTTGAAGCCACTATTCAACACGATGCTGAGGGGCTTCTGTTTCACTTACCCTCTTAACCAAGCACAATGCCCTGCTCCTGGAACTGGCCCCTCCTGATTACATATCCAAAGTACGTGAGACAAACATCCCACCATCCCTGCTGCCAAGAAGCCATCTGGCTGTACTACTTCCAAATGAGATTTACCATATATACTCGAATAGAAGCCAAGTTTTTCAGCACATTTTAATGCAGTTTTTGTGGTAGAATTAGGTACCTTGGCTGATATTTGGGTTGGCTTATACTTGAATGTATACAGTATTTGTTCTTCCAGCGGCCCATGGTATATTTACTATTCTTCAATAACACCATAGTTCAAATACATCAGTTTGTCCCTGATCTTTCCTATTCATTGTTCAATTTCCACATGCATCGGAAACTATTAAAAACACCAAGGCTTAGTTCAGGTACATCTCAGTCCTCAACGTGACACCTTTGCTCTTTTAACTTTGCACTTTAAAGAGCTTGAATGCAGCAGATTTGCCCAAACTAATACGTCATTTGATTTCTTGACTGCTGCTTCCATGAGAGTTGGTTGTGGATCCAGGTAAAATGAAATCTTTACCAACTCAGTGTTTTCTCCATTTATCATGATGTTGTTTATTGGTCTGGTTTGCGAACACTTTTGTTTTCTTTACATTGAGGTGTGATCCAAACGAAGGCAGCAGCCTTTGATCTTCATCAGTAAATCCTTCAATTCCTCCTTCCTTCCGGCAAGCGAGGTCGTATCATCTGCTTCTCTCCTTCACACAGGCCAGCTTCTTGGCTTACTTCCTCAGCATACAAATTGAGAAAGTATGGTGAAAGGATGCAGTCCTGAGGTACACGTGGCTGAGATAAAAGACTTAGAATAATAATACCAAATATGTCATTAAAAATTATGAGTATTTTGATGGCAATGATGTAATAATGGCTAAATAGGTATTGGGCTCAAGTGTTCAGATGCAAGCCATTTTTCAACTCCAGTCAATGGAGGTTGAGTCTTTTCTTCTTCAAGAAAGCTGTGTGGTTCATGCTTCTTCTGTGTCCTTTTTCAGAAAGTGCAAGTGGTGGTAACTGTTTTGGACTATGACAAGATTGGCAAGAACGATGCCATCGGCAAGGTCTTTGTGGGCTACAACAGCACCGGTGCGGAGCTGCGACACTGGTCAGATATGCTGGCCAACCCCCGGCGACCCATTGCCCAGTGGCACACCCTCCAGGTAGAGGAGGAGGTTGACGCCATGCTGGCTGTCAAGAAGTAAAGGGAAGAAGAAGCCTTTCTGCATTTGCCCACATAGTGCTCTTTAGCCAGTATCTGTAAATACCTCAGTGATATTGGTCCTTTCATTTCTTCCAGCCATGCGTTCCTAACACAATTCAGTGGTACTTCAGATCCTGTTTTACTTTGCACAAATTTAAATGTAGAGAGTCCCTGAGCCCCCTTCATCATATCACTGCCCTCAAATCTACTCTTCTTTTAAGCAATATGATGTGTAGATAGAGCATGACTGAAATTATTTATTGTATCACACCGTTGTATATACCACCAGTATGCTAAAGATTTATTTCTAGTTTGTGTATTTGTATGTTGTAAGCGTTTCCTAATCTGTGTATATCTAGATGTTTTTAATAAGATGTTCTATTTTAAACTATGTAAATTGACCGAGATATAGGAAAGCTGATAATATATTATATGGTAAATATCGTATCGTCTGCATTCCAGCAAAAATATCAACTTGTAAGGCACTAGCACAGTTAAACAGATATCTTAAAGGACAACTTAAACCTGAGCTTTCAATTGAATCATTTGAGCACCAAAATATACTGACACCACATAGTTGGTATGTGAATCCAATTTTGTAGAATTCTTTCCGAGGCAAAGTAGCACGAGCTGAGCAGCATTCGGGCTGGCCTCAAGGAAGCAAAGCCACAAACCAGAACAGCATCTGTCTGTACATATTTACAAGCTAAAACCATGGCTTCTCTCTGACACTCGAGGAAGCAACTGAACTGGAGTCAGTGATTTCATGTTATTGCATCTAGACTAGCACGGTGATGGCGTTTCTGGTGTGAATGTGTATGTGCGTGCAAGAGTATGTGTGCACACTTGTACATTTGTTTGGGGCTAGGGGTGGGAAGAAGCTGAGGGGAGAAGTCAGCATTTCTGAGATATTGCCTATTTAAAAAAGTAAAAAAGGACCTCTCCGTTATCACCTTTATATAAATTGTGCAGCCTGTGAATTCTATTTCAGATTTCACACCGAGGATAATTCTTAAAGGTTTGCACATTAGTCTTTATAACAAAATATTTTATTATACAAAACCAGATCAGAAGGAATGCAGAATATTTTTAACACAGCAATCTGTGCTTCTTACACAAAATTACTTTGTGGTAAACAGTATTGTAATCCCATCAAAAGATGAAAAAAGAATTAGCCATAGTTCTGAATGCACTTCAATTAAGCCAAAACAGACAGCTAGTGATCTTTTTATATGCTCTTTTTACTTAAATAAGTTTTAATTTGTCCTTTAAAAACAAAAGGTGAAACAAAACTAAGAACAAGTTCTAGAAAACTGAAGCAACCTCTTACATATACTAGATGCTCGATTTAGGAGGAGTTTTTAAATGTTTTCAATGTTATTCTGTAGTAAATGGCACTATTATGAAGCTACTAGTCATTCCATACAAGTCTTAAAGGACTGCTCTGTGTAACACTGTGATGCCGTGTGTGCTTAGAAACCTAGTTTCCTCAGTGGATAGCACTCAACTTATTCCGTAGTGATCTTGTAACAATACTGCCATTCCCTCTAATGCACTGCCCAAGGTGTGTGTAGCACAAACAGTTCTCATTACAAAGGACCAATTCAGAACTGGGAAGCTATGCATAGGACATGAAAGATACATAGAATGGGGTAGAACACACAGCATTTTGTCAAGCACTGTGCAATATTCCATATTTTTCCCCACTAGGGTAGGCAACCACTTTATGGAAAGGCAGCCTATTATATACCACACCACATCTAGTCCTTTTTCCTCACTTGCTTCTGTGACCCTGTTTCACTCAGCAGCCACCCAGAGAGTAGTGACTCTCTGAAGGAAAGGTTTACCTTCACAAACACCAAAACAAGATGGAGGAAAACTAAGCATTGATCTCATGTTCAGACTTTAGGATATCACAACACATTAAAAACAACAATAAATTAAAAACTCAAAAGAGAATTTGTAAAGGGCTGACAGTAGGCTTCAGACAGGGGTTAACTGTTTCTTGTCATTTCCCTTTCCTCCTCAAAGAAGAGGCAAACTCTTTGGTCTATCAGTCTAGTTGTGGCAAACCCTTTTGAACTTGGACACATCCACAGAACAAAAGGTGTGTGGGCATCTCTTCTTCTTCTTTTTTTCCCCCAACATAGAGAATAAGAAACATACAATTCATAGCGTGAGATTAAATAGTGGTTTTAACAGAACCATTCCAACAAGACTCCAGTTTAAATGCGCAAACCCTATGAAACAGAGGGTGTTGATTGACTTTTTAAAATTTCTTGACTACCAGAAACTGAAATCTAATTTCATTGTCTTCAGCTTTAAGTTCACACCAAACAACACTTTTAATCAAGCGGGTTCAAGCTGCTGAGGACACATCACTTCTTGCATTAAAGCACTATTAATGCATTCTCTTGCAACACTGCCAGACATGGGATTGTCACCATAGAGTTAGTTGGTACTGTGGCATCTTTCATGAGTCAGTGACAACCTGCCGCATGACCGAGACTCATCCTCAGATGAGCCCCATATACCTTTCTGACAAAGCTGTGTGAAGTATCAGAACCGATGCTCTAGAAGATCCTAGTTGCCTTTGTGGATATTTACTGCCTGCTTGAGTGTTTCTTTGTGTGGGTTTTCCCTGTACCTTGTAGAAATGTTGGGGTGTTTTCTTCTGCCATATGGCTCGTGGCCCGCGAGCCAACTACTTTAGCTGTATTTTACCTTCATTTTTGATGAGGTGGTTTAAATTTCGTTTCACTTTGTGTAGTGAATTCCACAGTAGTTTTCTGATTGTTGTTAAAAATGACTTAACATATTACATGGATATTCAATAAAAATGTTTTATTTCCTGTTGATGTTGCTGTCTTTCAACTCTTTTTCTTACCTGAGCCTCGTGATGAGTTGACTTTGGAAAATCTTGCACTGAATGCCAGCCTCTGAGTCCTGTCTATGAGGAAGGGGAAACAAGATCCAGAGAGGACTTGGCCACAATGGCCAAGTGTGTCTGGGAAGGTCACTCTCAATGTGTGTTTCTCTGTTCTTGTTTATGCTGCACTCCTCTGGCACACTCTTGAGGTTTCAGCTTTGTCCAAATGGTGTTTTCCAGGGTTTTCACTTCAGAGTCTAACTCGGTCACGTAGCTTTTGCCTAGGATGGCACTGAATACAAGATTTTTAAAATCCTGTTTTCAGAGAAAAGCATGATGGACACATCAAATTCCCTGCCTACTGCAGTAGCTCAGAGAAATGTGTAAACCTCTTTCTTCCATTGAGTTAGGCATTTATATAGTGCCTACTGTTTACCATGCTTTCCCTCAACACTGGAGATGCAAATGGTGTAACAAGGTACACTTGCCCCAAAGGAGCACAGAGTCTTACAACACACTGTGATGTAAACTTAAAAGCAAGTGTCCTCACACACAAATAGCTCCCCAAGTTTACGCTATGTGTACTAGTGAAAAGGGTAGCATATGGGATCTTAAAGGTTCATGAGTGGCCATCTATTTGTCAGGAGGAGGTGAGTAGTAAGGTAACCAAAAGCTCAGAGAAGAACTGGACCTCGAGACATACAGGAAAGCCAACAGGCATGACCTCATCTGGTTGCCACTGCTGACCGTTCTGACGCAAGCCATGGCAGATGCTTTGGTTTGAATGGAAGCAAAATGCAAAGCAAACTGAAATTCTTAAAACGGGCAGACTAACTGGATGGAGCACTAAGACCAGGGGCTCCTGAGGCTCTTGTACTGGCATGCTATTTAAGCCTAGAGCAAAACTAGCTCAAGATAATCTTTCAGCAGCAGAAGAGACTGGCACAAAAAATAAAGGCCACTATCTGTGCTCAGTACTCTACTGAAAAACACATCTGTATGCACCCTAAGACAACCCTTGCTCCAAGCAAAGCTGAGAAGATAAGGGACCTGGGAAGTGGAGCGCTGGAAACGGGAGAACCAGATCACAGCTCAAGAGATTGCTGACACAATGTGAAAACTGCCACCAACACCACCAACCTGTCTGTGTAGCAAGTGTCCAAGAGGAGCAGACTTTCTATGGAAACTTTGACCAAAGATACCATAAAACAGGAGGGGGAGCAAAAACCTAAGATTCCTGACCATGTTTACATGTTCACAACCCAATCTTAGTGGGTGTCATGATCTGCCGCCCTCAGCCCCACTTCAGCACAAGCCGTTTATCTTCCAGTTGCTAGAATCATCACTTGCTGACACAGCTGTGCTCTTACACCCTCAATCAAATTAAACTACCTCATTTAGGTATACACCCTCCTCCTCCCCTAGAGCAAGGGTGGGTTGGAGGGGTGGGGCAAAGAGTCAGGGCAAAATATCTCTGTGGGGCCTTCACAGCTTCCTAGTCCCAAGGGTTGAAAGTGCTTTGGCAACTACACTGCAATTCAAAGTTGGCCTCTCCCCAGCTAGTTTTCCTCATGACTCTCAACACTCCTTATAAAACTTTTTACATGCATAGCTCTAATCTCACAGTCTTGTTTCCCAGGGGTCTCAGCTTATAACACCACTCTTTGGGACAGGATCTATGAAGAACCAGAACCCATCTGTCAGTTTGTTGTACTGTGGTGACTTGCGTGTTGCTATGACACAAGAAGCCATACCATCAGTACTTCAAATACAAGCAGGGTCACCCACAGTGGGCAGCTTTCAGATGAAAACACATGAGGTAGAAAAGCTTGGCAATTCACTTCTGGAGATTAGCCAGTGAGAATCTTATGAGTCACAACAGGACAGTATCTGAGACTGCAGACATTGCAGCCAGGTGAGCACCCTAGACTGGAAGGCCCTCGGAATAGGTAGTGACTACACTAAGCTGAGCAACCATGGCGAAGAGGATTCATGGCCTGGTCATATGTGATGCTGGTCGACCGAGATCATGGTAAGTTAGAGTCGACTGAACAGAAACAAACAACAATACCAAGAGGGTTTGCTAGAGAAAAAAATACCAAAGTCCTAAAGGAACTGGTAGAAATGATCTGAACCAGGAAGCAGGCTATATTGCTACAAAATGATCCTGTTTGTCAAGACTTCTAATTTACCCATGATAGGGTGTTGGGCAGTCCACAGTTTTTTCAGCCAGCTCTATTAATCACTGCCAAATGAGGATATAGGAAATGGGCCAAACCAGGCCCAACAGCCAGGGAAAAGTCCACTCAAAGGAAGTAGTTGGCAAAGAGTTCTTCTCAGTGAAAACTGAGAAAACAAAACATAAGGCCCACCAATCTTAGGTGTGTAAGGGAGTGATGGGGGATGGGGGAACAAGCATTATAAATGCATTGGTTTCGTTTTCAATGGTGGGTAATTTTGTTTTACTTAACTGCTATTGATATTAACTCCAAACCTAGTGAAGAATACTTCTGAACAAATTCTGGGCATGAAAAAGTTACCCCTCCATTATTCAATATTTGTTTTCACAAAAGGCTTGTAGGCCTGAGGCATATGCCCTTAGGATATTTATTAGATGTATTAAGTACACAAAATCGTGGGACTTCCAGGAAGATGGCGACTGACTAACACATACCAGAGGGACTCCACAGAAATCAGCCCAGGAGAGTTACTAAGAGGGAAATTCAACACTGCTGGATCGCAGGAGGAGCATCATAAAG